TATATATTACAGGGACAGCTGACCCTCTTGTTTTTAGCCTCCCCAGTGCTGGGATTAAAAGTGTGTATCACCACATCCAGTGTGTGATGGCTCAGTGCACCTGGAGGCAGAGCTAGTGTGGCATATGGTGCCAGGGATTGAACCCCTGTGACTGAGCTTGCCTAAACAGTTGCTTAGTCTGCTGAGCGATCTTGCCAGGCCTTCAGTCATATTTATGTAGACTGGAAACTCACTATTATTTTTTCTTCTACAGAAAGGCAGAAACTCTACAGATGTCTTCCAGTAATGACAAGGTTTCTATTCCAATGTTAAATAAAAACACCAAAGACCCTCCATCAATGACCTCCAGTGACCTGAAGACATCTACTGAAGCTATTGTGCTGAGTTTTCATAATATCAGCTATCAAGTAAAAGTACAGAGTAGTACTCTACTGTTTTGGAAGTCAGAAATGAAATCAATACTATCGAATATCAGGTGTGTGGATACATTTTTATTTATTTATTTATTTTTATTTTTATTTTTTTTGGATACATTTTTAAAAGACTGCTTTACTCACCTAAAAGGAGTTTTATGGTTTTCCATGGTATAAGAAGCTGTTGTCAAAGTCTGTATACATTTGAACATGTATAGACACATGATTTTATTTTTATTGGCTAAAATAGGATTAAAATAATTGCATCACTTGTTATTTATATGAAAAACTTTCCAAGGAATTGCCAAAGAAAGTTGCTTTTTAAAATCTATTTTTATTTTTATTCATTTTAATTAGAAAAATATAAAATAACAATGAAAGTTGCTTACAGGTTAGTAGGGCAGTTACAATAATTAATACATTGCATACTGTTGTCTTCTAATAGTAGTTATTCAGAGGGCCAGATGCAAACATAATATGTTGTCTAAACAATATTAATACAAAATTTTATTCTCAATGAGGTAAGAGAAAGTAGCTGTATATGTGTCTTAACTATCTTGTATATACATGTATGTATTTTTTTCTTCATTTTTTCACAAAAGATGGTCCTTCATTTATACTTTTACAAAGGAAGTGACACGTGACACAAGGTTGCCTAGTGACTAATAGCTAACCTTAACCAGACAGGTTACTGAGGTAGCTTGTTTGCTTTAGGCACTGAGGCCTAGTCCCACCTACACAAATTTGATAAATTTCCCAGCTTCCATGGCTCTCACCATATACCCTGTTTTTGTTTTCTTTTGTCAGAGATGAGTGTTCCATTGCAGTTACAGAAGTTGTATTTGGAGAGGTCTTTAAAAGACATTTTCACATTTGATGCCAGTCCAAAGATTGCCACCTGAATTCAGCAAAATAACTCAATATAGTTCAATAGTTCATAATAGTAGTGGTTATCAGCAGAACTGGCAATTGTCAGAAATTGTTGACTTGAGCCTTTTACAGCTCAGCATATTACTATAAATTTACTTTTGATACCTGTGGTTACACTTTTCTGCTGGATAATTAAGATCAAGTTAAAACAAGACCTATATAACTAAAAGTGTAACTTGCTATCTGACAAGGTCAGTCAAATCCCCTCAGGATTTGTGCTGGAACCATGTACAGTACCTTATACATCTTTTGTCAGTGTCACCCATCTGGATGAGTAATGGCCATTGCTTGACCAATTTGCTTTTTGTGAAAGCCTGAGAGAATTTTTTCACTCCAAATGATTCTCGTTAGTACATTATACATCATCAATAGCTTTCCTCTGTGGCCTCATAATCTCCTTGATCAGAAAATTTGGGACACCACTGGGTTATAGGATGTTACAGTAAAGGTTCTCTTATGTCCTGAGTCCTCACTGATGTTGAATGGCTAGGGCCAAAATGTTGGCTATCCTTGAAGACCCTTTTTATTTTTATTTTTTATTTTTATTTTTTTTAAGAATCCTACCAATTGACCGCTAGTTTTATTTTTATTTTTATTTTTTTTCCAAAGTTTTATTGACAAACAGATAACAATGAGACAGTTTCAAATCATATCAGAAGGACAGTTTCAACAAATAATACACTGCATATATTCTTCTTAGTGATTAATTGCTGTACAAGATGCGGACTTGTGATCCTATTTACAAACACCAT